TTGACCGATAANCAATTTAAGGTGTGTGTGCAACTAGTGAAACGTTACGCTAAATGCACACACACCGATTGTGGACGGCCGATTTTATACCGGTCGTCCAAATTCCAATAGTGAACCACATGTGGGAACGGTACATGGCACACTTGCTTACCTGTGATCGACACCGATCACCGGTCAACCTGTGTGCCAGGTCCCGTACACACATGAGGTTCACTATTGGAATTTGGATGACCGGTATAAAATCGGCCGTCCAAAATCGGTGTGTGTGCATTTAGCGTAACATTTCATCGTTATGCAGCTGTTTCCGGTTTCAAGCCTGGGAATATAGGAAAAAATTGTATGATGGCGCTCCTAGGGTCAAAATACTCCGGAGATAAACCTGATTCGAGGCCATCATCCTGCAGACATTATTAAAAAATCACCATTTTTTACAGTCAAGAGGGTCTTTCCAACATCAGTCCACAGAAAAATAGCTCTAAGGCTAATTGCACACACACCGATTGTGGACGGCCGATTTTATACCGGTCGTCCAAATTCCAATAGTGAACCACATGTGGGAACGGTACATGGCACACTTGCTTACCGGTGATCGACACCGATCACCGGTCAACGTGTGTGCCAGGTCCCGTACACACATGAGGTTCACTATTGGAATTTGGACGACCGGTATAAAATCGGCCGTCCAAAATCGGTGTGTGTGCATTTAGCGTAACGTTTCATTGCTATGTCGCTGTTTCCGGTTTCAAGGGTGGAAATATAGGAAAAAATTGTATGATGGCGCTCCTAGGGTCAAAATACTCCGGAGGTAAAAGAGCTCTCCAATCGGATATTCGGGTGGGGGCTGATTCGAGGCCATCATCCTGCAGACATTATTAAAAAATCACCATTTTTTACAGTCAAGAGGGTCTTTCCAACATCAGTCCACAGAAAAATAGCATGGTAACTGCAGTTGCGAAGAGGCCCACTAGCAACTTCATTTCTGCAATATCAGAGGACTCAACTCAAATATAAATTCAGTTCACCAACATCTGCGAACAAATACCTAGTATTCTTGATCTCACAGAATTCAAAGTCAGTGCTTCAACAAATCCCGTCAATTTTCTGTATCCCGACTATGATTCCCACTCATCAATTCAAACGTAACTTTGGAATATCTCTTCCATCAGAAGCAATCACTTCTGTCAATGGAAGAAAATGCTGGAACCCCAAATCTTTGATGTTATGTGGTTCAAAATAATATCACTGAAGATCACCAAATTCATATGCTGCGTTTATCGACCACCAAGCGATACACAATATAGGTCATTATTCTCTTCAATCGCAAACACCATTGACTTTTGCAAATCAATCATCCCAGTGCCAAAATTTCCAAACTCGGTCAAATTTTCGAATATCGAAGAAGAACAAGGCGCAAAGTTGAGGCTTTTGTGCCTCAACTTTGTAAATGTGCCAACCAGGATTTTCGATCTTGATGGAGAATATGTTAGTCTTCTGGAACTATATCTAACAACCAATCCAGAAATTCACACAGTCACCGTAGGGTCTCCATTGGGATCTTCACAAACTCATTTCAGTTCTGAGTGAATTGTCGATGAATGTTGAGAAACAATTTGAGTCGCGCAAAGTTTGGCATTACAGATCTGCTAAGTAGGAGGATCTTCAAGACCATTTTCCTAGCTAGATGTTTGTTTCAACTTTAGAGATTCATCTGTTTGTGCTTCTGAAGTCACGGAAGTTATCGTATCATCCATGGTTGCATATATTTCTTTTTCAATGAAACGAACTTCTAACGGCAAATCTTGGTTCATTCAACACTGCGAGTAAACTGTCGCCTTCAAAAATCTAGCCTACAGCCAGATGCGAAAAATCTCAATGCCGAAAACCAAACTAGGTTTGTTATTGCTCGGAACAGCTGTAAAATTAGGATGAATGAAAGCAAAGAACTTCACAATCAGAGAATTACGGATAAACTGCTGGCCAATTCCAATGGGTCTAGATCCTTCTGGTCAGTAGCTAAAGCTGTTAATCAAAAGTTTATAAAATGCATAATTACAACAGTAACACAAGCGGATGGTTCAATTGCAACAACATCCATAGAAGCAGCAAATCTACTAGCGGAACAATCTGCGCCTCACTCCATAGTCGATTTCCTGGAAAAGGTACCACCAACTATCCCCACACTAGAATAAACAATAACGAAAATTATTTTTCGGCAACGTCTAGTCAGACGGATTCTGAAACAGCTCAATATTAATTACGCTTCTGGTCCTCATGAAGTGCCCGTCATCATACTCAAACAGTGCACGTTCTCTTGAATACTTTTATCATCAACGTTGGTATTTCCCAGGGATATATATTTTCTCCAACACCTTTTTATCAACAACTTATTGGGTTGCATTTCTTCACCGGCAGCAGAAAGTTCCATATCTTAATAAGGATCTAGGAGTAATGTCGAATTGGGGTGAAAATAATCAGGCTCAATTCAATGCCAGGAAAACCCAGGCATTGGTTTTCTCCAAAAAGGTCAATATCTCTGTTCCGGATATAATAATTTCAGGTTATTCAATTCCACTCTATACTTAGATAAGTTTTTTTGTGGTTAAAAGGTACATCAATATGTCTTTTTACAAGCATGTCGCTGGAATTGCAGGGGCTGCTTCTCAAAAGCTTGGAACACTGTTCCAAAGCCAGAGAACTGTGCACACCTCAGCAACTTTTGATGCTTTATAAAGCTCAGATCAGGCCTTTTTGGAGTATTGTTCTTATATAAGGAGCTGCGCCGCTAAGCATACCCTAAAGCTGCTGGATTAGATCCAGAAAAGAGCCATCTGCTTTATTAAAATCGCGAACATCATTTACTATCTTGGAATTTCGAAGAAAGGTTGGAGATTTGTCTCCCTTCTATGGATACTTTCACGGGAAGTGTTCAAGTGACTTGGCACATTTGATTCCACCAAGAGTGGTTCATATCAGAAATACGCGACGGACTGTGGTTGCTCATCGTTTCGAGGTTTAACTCAGTTCACTTTTTCAATTCATATCAAATATACTTTATTGTCTGAAGAATAAATTCTTATTGACAACGCCTTGTGCAAAATATAAATAACATATACATGAAATCACAAAAGTATCACAAAAGTAAAATCATTAAAAGTAAGTGATAACATGAACTGGAAAGAGACATGTGAATAATAATAACCTAATACAAACGTTCAGGATATAAGAACATGGTCAATAAAATTTAATGAATCAATTTAAACTAAATTGAATCGAATCAATAAAATACCGTAGATATTACAGTTAGTCATACTCAATTGAAATTATCATCGTAGAATTCTGCTAACCTATAAAAAGATCTCACAGAAAGAAAGTCTTCCAACTCTTTCTTGAGAGCTATAAGGTTATTCATGGTTCTTATAGNTTATATAGTAGACAATGGAAGTCCGAACTAGTGAAATTAATTTTACTTTCATTTGAGTATGAAGTGGTTTTAACCATCTGGGTGCGATCTGCTAAGTATGACTCAAACCACTTGAGACTTATTCCAGTTTTACCGTATCTACTGAGTTTCCGTAAAAGAATTTTATGATTCACGCAATCAAACGCTTTGGCTTTGTGGCATAAATTTTACTTATATATACACACAGCGAACGGCAGCTCTTTGTCTGGCGGCATTGGGCATGGGTTCAAGTCTAAACTAAGTATCGTTTGATAGCACAAAAAAATGTTTGGCGTCACTAGAATTTGATTTTATGAAACCCAGAAAACAAAATATTGAGAATGACAGAGCCTTATGAAATGAATGTCAAAATCTACAACAATAATTTATTACTACAATAATTTCTGTTCATGGCGTAAAATGATGATAAGATACAATGAGTTATATACAAAATCTGGGACACAACCCAAGATAATTATGAACGAATATGTTTTGTCCATTACATGGATGATGAATAAAAATAATAGAATTTTATACTTTCCAAAGAGCTTCAGAATCAGCTCTGCCTTAGACGGTATTTTGGTGATGGTGAACGTGTATGGTGGATGTGCCAAACAGGGTGCCTGGTGGATTTACTTCCGAAGTGAAAACTAGATTCAAACACATCAGCTGATATTGTTGAATCGAATCTGTCTTGCAATGGAACCTGCATTCTGAACATTTCAATAGAACTATACATCGGACCTGGGATACATCTACAGAGTTTGAGACATTGCTACGGTTGAAAGTACTGATACGGTACAATTCCAGCAGAAAGCTGTTGAAGAGGACCTCGTGGTACCCGTGCTGGACTTCTTGAAGTCAGACTCGAAAAAGGAAACTCCAGGAATGGATTATTTCCTCTCAAATTATAGTGAGTAAAGATCATCAAGTCCCAACGGAAAAACTCTGTGAAATAGGCTTAGTTACAACCAGTTTCAACATACAAAAAAAGGCAAAATGGCAAAGGGAAGCTTGCAAGATTCAAATACTGAAATTACATACCTATCGAGGATAAACGCCGGCCATCTAAAAAAGAGGACCTTCTTTTTTCATTTCAAAAAACTTCTTAAAAATCAACCTACAGCGCATTCTGACTGGCACACATTCTGAGTCTGTTTTTTACGTCGAAACGCTGACGTCAGACAAAGTACCTCGAATTTCATTATTTTCGGACAGGTTCAGATTTGAACTGGAAATAATGAAATTTATATATACACATATATATGGATGTTTTTAAATGACGAAAACTGCAATGCCAAGAACTTCTACCTAATGTCAAAAGGACTACTAGAAGAAAAGAGTAGTTGTTTCGACCCGCCAGATGGTATGTCTAGAGATTCACATTTCGTAGTGTTGAATAAACAACGAACGCACCGAGTGTGGAAGGATGATGAGAACAGAACACATTAACTGCTCTCGGAACACGAAAGAAAATATCCTTCAGCTGATTGAAAGTTAGAGGTCGACATCCGATTGTTTCTTTTCTGATGACAGATGAAAATATTCAAGTTCACCACCAGCGCAAATAGACGATCCAAGGCTTGAAAATACATAAATATAACGATGAAAATATACACAGATATATCAATGCATGATAAATAAAGTGATTATACTCTTCAGTAACAGGTGAGTAAATGTAACAATATATAGTACAATTTTATAATAGAATTACCTATACACATCACGTAAAATTGTCTCTTTTGATTTACAGGAATCCTACTAGTAGTGTAATCTGTAGAAGACAGCATTTATGAAAGTTTTGTGTGCTCTACCTGATAGAGTACAATTATATGACATCTTAAAGGTAGGTAAGAAACATAATAAATATTCTACAACACCACTGATTCCTTCTTTCCTTTTCAGAGATCGGTGAGGCATTATTACGGTCCACATATGAAAAA